AAACGAGTTTCTTAAAGTTCGGCTGGAGCACAGTCGAGGGCCTCCAGAGACCCAGACGTCAATACATGTAAAAACCTAAAGCTGCGAGTGTCTTCATTGTACTTCTTGTGACCCGAGTCTTTGGCTGCAAGATAACAAGAGTGAGAGCAGTAATAATTACTAACTATAATACATAAACAAATATTATAGTGAACTAAAAACAAGAGCGAATCAAGCTTGCAATAGTTAAAAGCAAAATATCACCTAGATGCTCTGGGATATTTAATACTCTTGCAACTCCTAAATTTTGGATTTCATAATAGAGTACTCACTACTAATCTGAGATTCGCATAAAAATGTTGTATTAAGTTGCTGGTCAAACTTCAAGACAGGGCTGCACATATAATGAGAAGCAGAACTTAATATACTTGATTCAACCAGACGGATCTTCCGTTTGCACAAACAGAGCAAACTTAACGCTCTTACCATCTGAAACACGCAAACTTATTGAAGGAACTTTGGCAACAGACTTGGTAACCAAAACAATTTAATTAAAATTTTAAAAGAATATCAACTAACACAATAATATTCAAAACGTATAGGATCCTCGCATTTCTACAGATAATTGTGCAGAAAAATAGTGTTCAAGCTTGGAAACTTCAAACTATGCTTCAGTATTTTTTACTTGTGACTTCTTAATGTTAATTAAAGAAATATATATCATTTTGTTAACATTATTTTTTGTCATTAAAAAATAATTATAACAATACTGATATTAATGGAGAAAATCCACTGGCTGTGATTTTCAGTATGTAACTAATATTATTATTATTATTACTATATTCAAATAGTAATAATCACCTGCTGCATGGGTGACAGCTTCTCCCCCGTACAAACCTACCCTGGCCTTACACCCTGTAGGGCCTACTCCAGACCGACAACCAGAGCGCAACTCTGTAGTCTCCAAGGACTGATGGATCCTTACTGCTATTCTGAACAGCCACAATAAATTAGGATCTCAAAGGGGTGGATCTCATACTCTAACGTGAATAATATATATATATATATATATATATATATATATATATATATATATATATATATATATATATATATATATATATATATATATATATATATATATATATATATAATATAATATGAGAAAGGTAATGCCAGCGTAATCGACCATGGACAATAAACCAATTATCGGATTACAGTAATTACGAGATTACGGATGAAGGAATTCAAGTTTCTGTAGATGACTTAACACCAGATTAGCCAAATTAACCCATTATAGAATTAGAAGCAATCATTACCTGATCAGGTAATCAACTGAGTTTCTCTTGTGAAAAACTACACTGGGAAAGCAATAGACGATCCGTCCACGAACAATTTTGACAAGAGAATGGCATTTAAAACAATCACTTAACAATTTAAATATCTCGCAAAACAATAATGAAACAAAATTGTATTCAAAATAAATTCAAAAGTAATACAGGTGAACAAATGAAAGGAACAAGACCAGCTTTTTGTTTTAGAGAAAGTAAACGAGAAGGGAACTTTCATCTCCACCAACCGCACGTAACAAACAAAATTGACTCGTAAACATTAATAATAATAATTATTATAATAATAATCATAATATCATACAAATCATGCGAGCATGACCCAAAACATCACCTGACCCGCCAGAATACTAACAACTCTACCAACATATTTAACTCAGCGACCAACTTTTTTATGTTGACATACGCGCGTTATTTTTATGAGCGGAAAGCTGTGATAATTACCATGGGATGATAGTTGGCGTACAGTGTAGGCACAGTTAGAATCCAGTACCATTGTTGGATTAAGTCGTTATCACAGCGGCTTACTCCCCGTAATGGTCGCTAAAAATCACAGGTCCAATTTAAATAGCTTATTCAAAAATATATTTATAGAGAGATTTATATGTTAATATATATTACAGAGAGAGAGAGAGAGAGAGAGATAACTCTAATAAAGCATTTATGTTTTTTTTTCTATATTATTATTAGTATTATTTAAACACTTTTTTAAGACATTAGTTATACTAGTTACCTTTTTTTGTTTGAACTATATTACTAATTTTCAAGCTCCTTGAAAATTTTCAAGCACCTTGAAACAGTATAAGGAGCTCCAGCTACTTGTACTCGTATCCCAGTTCCTTGTACTCGTATCCCAGTTCCTTGTACTCGTATCCCATGCAAAGATCTTTTACTGCTAGAATTTCCTAATTACATCATCTAAATAATTGCAATCGCTTAACACTTTCAACTCTGTATACCAAAGAGTGTAGGCGGGAGAGATACATAATAATTTACACTTGAATTCTTTTAAAAGGATCAGGTCTAAATATGTACAAAGACATAGCACCACGTGAGACCAGGAGGCATGGCAGGATGTGCAAAACAGCCCAATTGAAAAGCTGAGGTGCAACAGGTACGCGAAGAGAGAATTTTATCAACATTAAAGGCTCAAGGCTTTTCAGCACTCTCCCTTTACACAAAAGGAGCATAATTATCCGACCTCTCACAATGTTTATAAGAGAACCTGATAAACACCTTTAGAGGATACCTGATCAACAAAGCTGTGAGTCATACGTCGGGCTGCGAGCCGTCGCGTTGAACAGCCTGGTTGACCAGACTGCCAACCAGGAGACCTGGTCAAAGACCGGGCCGCAGGAACGTTGATCCTCGAAATCATAGAAAGGTAAACGAAAGATAGGTAGTGAAAGCATGAATTGCTCCTTTTATTTATCTGTATAAATGCAGATCTTGTTTGCACCCTCTATATTGGTATTTGAATAAGGTTATGTTATAGTACTTAAGGTTTATTAAATATGTCTTAACCAATTCATTTATAAATTGTTAATTGTATAATTTTTATATATTTTTGCATTTCTGATGACTCCGCCGTCGACATTATTATATTCTTGCAGAGAAATGGCTATCTGAAAGCCACTTCTAGAAATTTTAGTTTCATAAAACTTTCTTGGAGGAGGAGAGTTGCATTTTTTAAACTTTGTAATCATATCACTTCTCTATTGGCGAGTCTTCAACTATGTCATAAAGTGTAATGCTTAAAGTAGGCTTCCCAATAGATGTGCGACACTGACTTGGATTATATCTCTGACTTTATATAACATCGTATACAGTAATCTTATAAATAAGTATACTATGGGCAATGTTGACCAGACCTCACACTAGAAGGTGAAGGGACGACGACGTTTCGGTCCGTCCTGGACCATTCTCAAGTCGATTGTTGACTACAATGAGGAATATAATATAAACGTTGCAAATATTTCTACATCACATAGCATTCATGAGTTGTGTTTTCCTGCGCTGATATTCGAATTGCCTTCCATATATAGCTGCAACACTTTTCAAATGTTTAGATGAATTCATATGAAAAGATTCGGCTATAAGTATTGTTTTCAAGAGAGCACAGAAAACCCTCCCTCTAACCTAAGTCACTTGCGTACCAATCCTTTGTCCTAATCATAATAGAGGAACCAGCAATATCCAAGGCTATTTGCCGGACAAGTAATTACTAAAATGTATTGAGATCATTTATATTCATTTTGCCGAGCGGAATGATTCATTATTTACCAAAGCTATATAAACATTCCACAAAACATGTCACAAAGATTTGTCAACACCGGCCGGTATATCCGTGGGTATAACTCTTCACCCCACATATCCTTACCTTGAGGTGCTTCAGGGGCTTAGCGTCCCCGCGGCCCGGTCGTCGACCAGGCCTCCTGGTTGCTGGACTGATCAACCAGGCTATTGGACCAGGCTGTTGGTCCTTGGTTAGACCAGCTGCGCAGTCACTGACTTTTACCCTCAAATTGCCCTCTCACCATCGCTAGACCAGCAGCACAGTCACTATCACCCATACCCGCATCTCAACCTGGGGCCAGATTCACGAAGCAGTTACGCAAGCACTTACGAACCTGTACATCTTTTCTCAATCTTTGGCGGCTTTGTTTACAATTATTAAACAGTTGATGAGCTCCGAAGCACCAGGAGGCTGTTTGTAACAATAACATCAGTTGATTGGCAAGTTTTCATGCTTGTAAACTGTTTAATAAATGTAACCAAAGCCGTCAAAGATTGAGGAAAGATGTACACGTTTGTAAGTGCTTGTGTAACTGCTTCATGAATCTGGGCCCTGGTTAGACCAGGTAAAGCTGTCACTAACCTTCACATATCGCTGTGATTCCCATCTCTACTGGGCATATAATTTTTCCCTGATATAACCGGTATTGTGTTGCTCAATATGCTTCAATTTATCTAGTCACGATAAGTTGATTTCACCAGGACATAACCAATTTGGAAATATAACTACCGTTAAATTGTATTTAGCATTACCGTTTTAATTATATCTAACATTGCTGCAATAATTATATCAAAAAATGCTGTCAGGATGATCACTCGTGGATTCTAACTATTCTCAGAGTCTGTGGTGTGATACTTCTTATCTCTTTCGTCACCGCTTATGTCATACAAATTTTGTTAAAGTACACAGTTAAGATTCTTGTTTCATTTCATAGTAACTTTCGTAATAAGCATGTCGTTCAATTATTGTTTGCAATACTTGATAATAATATTATAAGTATTACTGTTGCTATTATTTTTATAGTAGTAGTAGTAGAAAAAGTAGTAATAATAGTAATATTAGTAGTAGTAATAATAGTTGTTGTAATATCAATATATTGTTGTGGCTCTGCATTGTGGTATAACTATATAAATTATTCACTGTATCAATGTACCAAATTATCGTAGCCTAACTGTATCATTACATCTGTCACTGAATCAAAATATCACTTTCTCCCTTCACTGCACGTTACATCATCACTGTACCACTGTATTACATCAATTTATAAGAACATCTCTGTCACATTGCATCAATATATCACTGTGTCACTATATCAAAATATCACAGCATCACTATGAATTCATCACAGCATCACCATCTCATTCTCTCCTGGCCAGTCTCTCCGCGTCTCCACCTGGCCCTCGGCCGGATGCTGCAGCCAGATGGGATCAGGGAAGATATGGACGTGTACTTTCACTGCTCTGTCACTGCTAACCCCAAGGTGTACAAGATCACCTGGTATCACAATGTGAGTAGTGTCTCGAGGGAGTCCTATACGATAGAGATTGTGGTGGTGGTGGTAGTTGGGTAGTTGATGGTAGTGGTGGTGGAGGGGATTGATTTGTTGATGGTGGTGGTGGTGGTTATAGTGGTTTAGGGGTTGATGGTGCTAATGATGGTCTGGGGTTGATTGTGGTGGATGGGTGCTGGTAGTTGGGGAGTTGATGGTGATGATAAATGTTGGTGGTGAAGGTTAGGGGTTGATTGTTGATATCATGATGATGATGGTGGTTGACGGTGATGGTGGTGGTAGTAGTGGTGTGTGTGGGTTGTTGATAGTGGCTGGGTTAGTGGTAATAGTGATGATGATGATGGGTTAGAATGTGATGATGGTAGTTTAGATGATGATAGGGATAGTGAGAGAAGAAGCAGCATTCGGGTTGAAGAAGTCTCTTGTATACTTGTATTCTGGAATTTGGCCACTCCGAGAGTCATGAGAGAATGTTGTAACTGCTGCTGGATAGAAAATTTGGTATTAAAAGTAAAGAATAGAGAGAGAGACAGAGAGACAGAGAGACAGAGAGACAGAGAGACAGAGAGACAGAGACTGACAGCACAGACAGACACAAATAGACAGAAAAACACTTACCGACGGAGAATGACCGAATCTGAGACAGAGAAAATGTAACAACTTTAAAACAAAAAGAGTATTATATTTTCACCAAAAAGAATTGTGTTGCGAGAGTAAGCCTACAAAATAAAAATTTAAATGAAAAAAAGATTATACAGAGCTATACATTAGGAATAACGTAAAAGGTCACTTACCACTTTTTCATAGGTATAATCGTGTATCTAAATCTCCCGTTACTTTTTTGTGCTGAGTACTGACGTTATCCACTGATGTCGAGTGAAAAGGAATTCGCTGGTGCACCTTGTATTGTGACTTTGATGCACAGAGCAGCTTCTGCTGAGAATGTAAATTGCAAAACTTACATGTCATGCCATGCAAAACTTGAACATTTTATGACTTGAATTTTATGACATTTGTGCATGTTTTAGTTAAATGTATTTTCAAAGCTCATGAGATTATTAAGTCCCATATTTCAAACGAAAATGATTTACTATATATATCTCTCTCTCTCTCACTATCTTTCTCTTTCTCTCTCTCTCTCTTTTTCTCTTCTGTGTCTCACTTTCTCTCTCTCTCTCTCTCTCTCTCTCTCTCTCTCTCTCTCTCTCTCTCTCTCTCTCTCTCTCTCTCTCTCTCTCTCTCTCTCTCTCTCTCTCTCTCTCTCTCTCACTCTCTCTCTCTCTCTCTCTCTCTCTCTCTCTCTCTCTCTCTCTCTCTCTCTCTCTCTCTCTCTCTCTCACACTCTCTCTCTCTCTCTCTCTCTCTCTCTCTCTCTCTCTCTCTCTCTCTCTCTCTCTCTCTCTCTCTCTCTCTCCTCTCTCTATCGCCCTTTCTCTCCTGCTGCTTCCTTTTTGACGTTCAGTGACAAACCCAAAACCAATCCCACTGAACCCGACCGCAGCATCAGAGAACCTTTCTAGCACTAATAAGCTCAGTGCTTTCCCCGTACGTTCAATTGTACACTAGCTTCCTTATGCACACCCAGCAATCTCACTTTTACGTGCATGTAAAGTAAGGTGTTCCTCCAAGTTGTTAATCTTCGACTAGCTTCGTTGGTAGAGATTTATAAATCGGGGTTAGAAACACTGTTTTTGCTGCTTAGTCTTGACTGATTAGTGTCTATCACTATGCGGTTATGGGTGTTCCAAAAATTTATCATGTGGATAAAGTCAACTTTGATTAGCCTGTTGAACCGTTTACATTCATGTGATTAATTTGATTGGGAGTTTGAAGATGACGTTTTCCCAGAGAAATTCAAAGTTCAATGTGCCCAAAAAATTAGATTCGTGTGATTGGCTTTTAGTTCTATTGATTACATGAAAGATGGATACCAAGTTTGTTAGTGTAGATTATAATCTCTTATATAAAACTAAAATTTAATTATGATCTTTAAAATGGTGTGTCTGATAAAATTTTCCAGTATCTTTCTTGAGGAAGCGAGAGCACTTGAACCTTGTTGACCGTGAGAGAATTTCATCAGCGAGGGAGATCAAGGTTAATTAGTAGAGAGAAGGTGAGAAAATTGGGGGGTCGGTCTCGGCTTCGGATTCTTGGCCAAGGAAAGACGAAGCGCGATAATTAAGGAAAGCTTAGTGAGGGAGTGACGTGTTGATTAGCGCTGGCGTTACGTAAGAAGCAGAGAGTACCGTCTATTGTTGAAGTTTATTGTTGGAGTCTATGGTGTTGGCGTCTGTGTTGGCGTCTGTGTTGGCGTCTGTGTTGGGGTCTGTGTGTGTGTGTGTGTGTGTGTGTGTGTGTGTGTGTGTGTGTGTGTGTGTGTGTGTGTATGTGTGCGTGCGTGTGTGTCAGTGAGGAAATCAATTCTGAAGTCAGAGAGGAGTGATGGTGGTGTAGGTGAGAAGGCGCTGGCTTTAAACGAAATGAGGTGTAAAATTAAACTGATATATTTTATGGCTTTTGCGCCAATTTTGTTATGGGAAGAGGACTTGATGATGGTGGTAATAGTGGTGATCAGGGATGGTGGTGGTGGTGGTGGTGGTAGTTATTGTTGTAGTGGTGTGTGTTGATGATCGTGGCCAGACATTCTAGTGTTGGACCTGAGATGATGGAAGATAAAGATGCCGTCCTGGGAGAAATTGATGAGTTGGAGAGTGTCTTTGTGGGTATTATATGAGAGTTCATGATGCTGGAAGGCTCCTGGAGATGGATACAATCCTCCAAAAAAAACGAAAGACAAGAATAGACCAGTGAAAATTACCAGCAAGAAAATAAGTAAGAGGGAGAGGGAGGGGGAGAGAGAATGAGTGAGAGAGAGAGAGAGAGAGAGAGAGAGGTGGAAGAGAAAATAATGAGAATGTGAGAGAATGAGCGAGTGAATGAGAGAGGAGGAGGAACGAGAGACCACAACAGTTTACACAGAGTCTAACAACACCCTCTTATCTCCGTCACCTGCAGGACGAAGAGGTGCAACAAGACGCTTTAGCTGGGGTGCTAGTCTCAAACGACCACCTTGTGCTGCAGAAAATCAAGCGCCGCTGGAGCGGTTCCTACGTCTGCAAGGCCTCGAACGTCGTGGGAGACTCACACTCCAAGCCCTTATCCATCACAGTACAGTGTGAGTGCGTTCTTTAATTCTGGTTAGGGGTCGGGGTGAAGATTAAGACTTGTCCCACTTATATCCCCGTCTCATTATATCATATTCAATACTTGCCATTTGGAGCTCAGTAACTTTGAATGTCGGGGATATCTGTTAAGTCATTTTTGATCCCGTAATTTGATTGGCTTCGTCCGCACATCTGCAGTTATCACGCAGGTAAGGCATTGGCACCTGGTATTTCAATGTTTTCATATCACATTTCTAGATCCTAGCACCATTTCTTAAACACGCTCTCTTGCTCCAGCTTTGCGAAGTTCACTGAACTTCACAGTTCTGACACCGCTTTAAATACACAAACTTCTGTATAGTCGCGTTTAGCATTCCCACACACACACGCATGCCTTATATTCATACCTTATAATGGCATTCAACTTACCCCACATACTCGTGTTTTCTAGCATACCTTAAACCCACACACTCCACGTATATCAACATACCACATGTCCACACACTCCTGTATATCAACATTCCACATATCAACACACTCTTCTATATCTGAATACCTCTCGTCCACATAGACCGAACCCCCTCCCCCCAACACTGCTCCAGCATTCTCCTTTACAGCGTTTAAACATAATATCAGTTGCAATGTAGGCTGAGGTGGCGTTCATTAACTGAATACCGTGATATAGCAGACTTTAATGCTGTTGTGTGTAGACGAACCAGCTTCTCTTGTTTGCAGTATGACGCGTGTTGACTCCGCAAACAACATATGTTTGTTGTGCTTAGAGAGGAATCTAGATTATCTTGTTACCGAAGTTTCAATTCCGTTGTCGCTGGGAAATTGGACGATATAAGGGGTTAGAAGACGTGAGATTGAACTTTTACATGCTCCTATCAAATTTACCAGACACATATTTTTTTTTACTACATTAATGCTCCTGAATCTATAAGTTCACTTGCGTTAAAGAGCACTGTTTTGACTCTTGACTTCCCTTCAATGTCTTGGGAGGACTTCCAGAATCAGTAACCAGGACGATATTTGATACATATAATACTAAATAAAACATTTATGTAACTCTCATAAAAATACATAACAAAAACTGAGGTAGAAGCCTTTCACCGTCTTTCAATATTATTATCTAAAATCAAGTGCACAAAGATAAGATCTAAGCCCACTAACACATCCCAAGCCCAGACATCGCAAGAGCAAACATCCTAACCCAATGATCTCTAACCCAATAATCCTAAGCCCAAATATCCCAAGGATAAATATTTCTAGCTTAACATCCCTATTCAAAACTTCCCATGTCAAAATATCCTGAGATCAATAAAATCCTCAGCCCATCATCTCTAAACTCTAACAAATCTAACTTATAAACTCTAACTTATAAATCTAACTCTTGCATGCTCCTGATTTATATTCTGCTCGCACTTAATGTGTTTATTGGGTAACTCAAACTTAGTTCCCTATTTTTTGTTCCATTTATCTATCTCGGGAAATAAACTACTATATTCTGTGACTCTTCACTGACCCAACTCTAGTTTGGGTCTCCATGTAAAGCATTTTAGAACAGTCAGTAGACCAATGTTGAAAACATTGTTCTGAACAATTAAGACCAACATTTGTTTTAAACATTTTTAAACAACAGTCTGAAAAATGTTTTGAGCAAAAAATGGATGTTTCCATTATTATGCCTTGTTCACTGGCAAACTTTTCTATTCGGAGCAAACTTTCCCAAATAAACGAAAAACAAAATGAGTTACACAAAGTGAGATTAACATTGCCAGGCTGTCTGCCTTTCTCGTCAACTCCAGTACTCTGGAAAGAGAAATTGGTTCGTATCCACATCTCGGATCTGCTCCTCACTCACTTGCTAAACCCGATCAGTTATCCGGAACTTATTGGGTCGTATCATAAATAAGAGTAACTTAGGGGGGAGACTAGTCCCGAGCAGGCTCGTGAAGGTTCCTGTAATGGCAATATACAGGGACGTAATGCAAATAAACGCCCCCTCTGACAATGCAGTAAGCTTGGTATTATGGGACCATTATGCAGTTAATGTGCACTCCTTCTCTATCAGACTCCCGTGAAGCTGACGTTAATGCGCATTCAATGGATATTTTGGTCACACGAGCGAAGCAGGATGAGAAGTCTAAGCCGCTGTTGGCCATCCCAAGAGCCTCAGCTCTTCTCTATTCCAGCACCTTATTCCCTAACCATGACCTCCCTCCTTGCCCTTCCCACACACCCTTCACCCTTCACCCGGGGGAGAACACATATATCTTCAGTCTCTCACCTTCTCCTTTGCTGTCCCTCACAGATTTCCACACACACCTTTCAAGCCTCGAAGGAAAGCGCACATGTCCAAACCTAATGTAACACAACCTAACTTAACACAACCAAACTTAACTTGACCTGATCTTATCTGTTCTAATCAAACCTAACCTAACAGCCTAAGTAAGCTTAACCTCACTAAATCTAACCTAACACAACCAAAGTTAGCTTAACGTAATCTTGCATAACCTTACTAATTATAATCTAACATACTCTAACTTAGTTTAGTCTAATCTTACCTAATCAAATCTAACTCAACCTAACTTAGCTTAACCTATTCTTACATAACCTAAGCTAACTGAACCTAAGCTAACTGAACCTAGGCTAACTGAACCTAGACTAACTGAACCTAACCTAATCCAAGCGAACCTTACCTAGTCTAGCCGAACGTAACCTAAGCATACGTAACTAGACTTAACCTAACATGAGTTAGCATTCATATACGTAGGAAAGCACCCTCATTCTTCCCTATTTCCTTCCTGACTTATGAAACATTTCTCATTTCTGCTAATACCGAAATATTATTTCTTATCTTTATATTATTTTGCTTGTGGTATTAAAAATAGTAGAAGTGGTAGTAATAGTAGTAGTAGTGGTGGTGGTAGTAGTGATAGTAGTAATGGTAGCAGTAGTTATAACTATAAAAGCTGAAAAAGTAGTATTAGTCATTGTCGAAGTAGTAGGAATTTTATTAATATCTAGATCAATGCGCAAGTAGCAACAGTTGAGGTAAAAATGTCAATTTCTTCAGGAACAACAACTGAACCTCAGCTCTGAACCTCCTTATCAACTCTATTTCATAGTTTTAAGCGCCTTGAAGATATATATATATAATATATATATATATATAATATATATATATATATATATATATATATATATATATATATATATATATATATATATATATATATATATATATATATATATATATATATATATATCTTTGTTGTTGATCTTCACAGACGCCCCGATTTGCTCGTCAGCGTCGACGACGGTGTACCGAGCGGCGTTGGGGGAGGAGATAGTGCTCCCATGTCGAGTTCTCTCCCACCCCGCTAACGTCACCTTCTCCTGGACCTTTATGAACACCCTCACAGAGGTAGGTCAGTCGTGTGTGGGTGAACTTGTGTTCGAGCGTCTGTGTGTGTGTGTTATGAGTCTTCTTGTGAGTGAACATATATGCATATCCGGGTTTATGGAGGAGCAACCCTTACCGTGAGCCTCAAATCCCTTTCGTTCAAACCTAAAGTGAAACAATTCTTGGTAATGTTGGTGATAAACTAATTCTTGGATAGTCTTTTGACTGTCTCAAGACAAATTTAACTCTTCCATGTAAACCGTGAATCTTGCAAAGACCTGAAAGAGGAGGGAGTGTGAGGACCAGCGAGATAATATAGAAGAAGCCTGGGTGAAGTATGCTGGCGTTCTGTAGTACCTTATCTCCCAAAACTGGTTCCAAGGGAGCAAAGCACACATGTTGCGATATCATTAGGTATGCTGAACGCATACAATTGCTGCCGGCTCCTTGGTGGAGGTGGTGGAGGTGGTCTTGGTGGTGGTGGAGGTGGTGGAGGTGGTGTTGGTGGTGGTGGAGATGGTGGTAGTGGTGGTGGTGGTGGTGTTTTTGGTGGAGATGGTAGTAAGGGAGGTGATGATGATGGTGGTGAAGATTGTGTTGGCGTTGTTGTTTGTGGAGATGGTGGTGATGGTGCTGGAGATGATGGTGGTGTTGTTGGTGGTGGAGATTGGTGGAGATGATGGTAATGGTGGTGGACACCAGAGAAGACCAATCTGTGGGTCGTCTGCAGAGGGTAACAATCGAATCTGTTATGGACTATTGAATTTTTCTCCCTCTATCAACCTCGATCTCCATATCTCTCTCTCTCTCTCTCTCTCTCTCTCTCTCTCTCTCTCTCTCTCTCTCTCTCTCTCTCTCTCTCTCTCTCTCTCTCTCTCTCATATTGCAAAGAAAAAGTAAACAAAACGTAATAACAGTGAGAATACGCAAATGATCAAGGGAGAACCTGTACAGCGGGAGACAGACATCCACAGTGAGAAGAGAGAATTCGGAAAGGGACGAAAAGGGGTTCAAACAGGATTCAAAAGGGTCATTGCTAGTGCTTAGTCCACGGACATGATTTCCCAGAAGCGATAGATTGCGTCCTCCTAAGATTTACTGACGAGGAAAAAATGGTTTTGAGGTGCTATTGGAGGACATGGAGTTTTAATTTAGGTTTTTAATTACTAATTTAAAATTAATCCTGTATTGTGTGTGTGTGTGTGTGTGTGTGTGTGTGTGTGTGTGTGTGTGTGTGTGTGTGTGTGTGTGTGTGTGTGTGTGTGTGTGTGTGAAATATGTAGTTGATATGATGGTCGAGAGTCAGTATATTAGACAATCGACGGTTAGAAAGGCGGAGTCCAAGAGCTAAATGCTCAATCTTGCAGGTGCAAATAGTAAATGCAAATAGCAAAAATGAGCGCTCAATATATATATATATATATATATATATATATATATATATATATATATATATATATATATATATATATATATATATATATATATGTGTGTATTCTGTTAAATACAGAATATTCTAATTATACATATTTATTATATTTTCCTTAATTCTATGCGAATATAAACACGATACCCCCTTCTCCTTTTCCTTCCCCCATCCCCTCCTGCTCCATCTGTCCCTTTTCCTCTTCCCCCCTTTCCTCTTCCTCTTCTTGCTCCTCCTCTTCAACCCTGTCTTCAGTTTCCTCCCGTCTTCTCCCCTACCCTGCCGACTCACCCCTTCCCCCTGCTTCCCCAGCACGAGAGGGTGCCGGGGGACCGTGTCTCGTGGGGGGGTCTTGTGTCGCGTCTCCGTTACCTTCCGGAGAAGACCCAAGACTACGGCACCTTGCATTGCTGGGCCTCCAACAGGGTCGGGCATCAGAAGGAACCATGTGTATTCACCGTCAAGCCAGCTGGTGAGTACTCCTTTCCCTCAGTTCCTTCCTTCATTCCCTCAGCCTTCTCCCGGGAGGGTGAACTTGCGTGTTGGTAGAGAGTAGATGGGTGTACGGTGGGGCGGATAGGTTTTAGATTCTGTATGATGCTCAGGTTTGGAGTATTCGACGGGTTTGGTTTCCAGGTGGTAAAGCAGGTTTTATAGAGCTAGCATTGCATAGCTCTGTGGAAATAACTCTTGGTTCCGTAAGTTCTGTACTTAAGATATGTGTTTGACTCTACACGTTGTATGTTGCATTATTAATTGTTCATGTAATAAGTGTAATTGGCAGCGTGGACACTAATGAAGACACACACACACACACACACACACACACACACACACACACACACACACACACACACACACACACACACACACACACACACACACACACACACACACACTCACACACATACACAC